GGGTCCTGTGCATAGTGTACGGGCTGCTGTGCACTGCGCCGCCCGGGGGTATTTCCTGCAGAGCATTTCCTAGCGCCACGTCTCTTCTTCGGTCCTCTTAGCAGCTGATTTCAATCATTCTCTAGGATCACCTTGAGAGCCATCAAGTCCCTGCTGGCTTCTTCATTTTTCTTTCTGTTGGTTCTGTTCTTCCTGTTGCTCTTGGATCTCATCCTTTAGTCTTTGTGCTGCAGAGCTTGTTGACTAAACACAGGTGAACCACCCTCACCAGCTCGGAGCCTCCCCGCCTCCCCCTCCTCACCTCCCCGCCTCCCTGCCTCCCCCTCCCCGCCTCCCCCTCCCCGCCTCCCTGCCTCCCCCTCCCCGCCTCCCCGCCTCCCTGCCTCCCCCTCCCCGCCTCCCCCTCCTCACCTCCCCGCCTCCCTGCCTCCCCCTCCCCGCCTCCCCGCCTCCCTGCCTCCCCCTCCCCGCCTCCCTGCCTCCCCCTCCCCGCCTCCACGCCTCCCCCCTCCCCGCCTCCCCCTCCCCCCTCCCCCCCTCCCTGCCCCATCCTGGCTGTGGTCTGTGCCCTCTTCTACCCTCTCAGCTCAGGCTTGTCAGGGCAGTGTGCCCCTCAGCCCAGGGCAAGAGTACCTGAGCCATCCATGCATCCAATTTCCCTTTCGGTGGAGGGCAGTTTAGTTTTGTGGGTCTCCGTCTTTCCATCTGTAAGACAGAGTACAGAGAATCAGGTGCTGGTGGCCCACACCTGTCATCCTAGCTGCTCAGGAGGCAGATCTGAGGATCACTGTTTAAAGCCAGCCTGGGCAGGAAAGCCTGTCAGATTCTAATCTCCAATTAACCATCAAAAAAAAAAAAAAAAAAGCCAAAGTGGAGGTGTGACTCAAGTGTGAGAGTGCTAACCTTGAACAGAAAAGCTCAGGGACATCACCCAAGCTCTGAGTTCAAACCCCAGGATCAGCAAGAGAAGACAAAACCAGAGTTAAGAGTGCTCATTTCCAGCAGTTACCGCTGCCCGTGCGGGCCCTGGAGGAACAGGCATGTTGTAAATTATCACTCGCTCTGCAAACACTAGGGAATATTTAGGACCGGGAGTTTCTTCCTGCTGGTCAGCTGTGTCGGCTCAGGGCAGCGGGTGGAGGACGGAGGACGGCCTTCCTGGCCACCATAGTGGGGCAGCCGGGTCCTCTGTCCCCCGCAGTGGTATTCTAGCTTCCGGCTGGCTTGTCCAGGAGGACAGGAGGACGCTGGGGAGATGAGCAGGCAGGACATCTGTAAACAGCGCAGGAGCTGGAGGAGGAGAGTGGGGTAGTAGGTCAGAGGCCAGGCCAGGGCTGCGCTAAAAGGTGGTGTGGGTGGGCGAACAGCCCAACAGGTGGGACCGCGGTGGGTGGACAGTAATGTGTGGACATCAGTGCACAGGCAGCCCAGGTGAGAGAACCGCGTCCCCGGGAGAGAGAGGTGGCCGTGGCTGGGCAGATGTCCAACGTGCATTCCCCAGGGCAGCAGGCCACAAGCCGGAAGCCCCAGCCTGCACACTGGACACACGACAGGACAGGTGGCAGGACCGAGCCCGCAGCTGGCCAGCCTAGCCGCTCGGGGCACCTGTGCTGTGCTGTGCCTTCTTTACTCCACAGGACAGAGGTGAAGGTCGGCTTCTGAGCTCACAGGCGGATGTGTGGGTAGGGCTATGTGGTCAGCGCCCTGCATGGCGAAGGCGTCCCTGCCAGGGAAGAGCTGAGCCGGTTAGCTGGCAGGCCGCTCATCCGAGCAGAGAAGCAGCCCTTCCAGAACAGACTGAGTCCACAGGGGTGTTTCTGGGGCTCTGCTGATGTCTGCTCTGCCACCTGGCTCCCCCGGGTCCCTGGAGACCCAAGGCCTCCTTCCTCGGCCTCCACTGCAGGCTCGGTGCAGCTCCAGGTCCTCAGGGGACAGACCCTCCTCGGTACTGCCCACCGGGACCTGCAGTTCCCTCGGACCGGGAAGGTGGCTCAGCGGTGGTGTGCTTGCCTAGCATACATGAAGCCCTGTACCACACGCACAGAAACAGCTGGAAGCGGGGCTGTGGCTCAAGTGGTAGAGTGCTAGCCTTGAGTACTGAGAGCCCAGGCCCTGAGCTGAAGCCCCAGGACGGCAGCTCCCTTGTCCACGCACCAGCCAGGCCTCTCCACAGCCAGTTTTGGGCCAGCAGGCCGGTGCTCCTCACTTCAGCCTCACGGGGGCTGTGTGCCAGCAGGCTGGGCGTCCCCTGTGGCTTCCTTCTCATGTCGCACCTCTGTGTGGATAGGTCCTGGTGTCTGTGTTCACACTTTCCCTTTGACCGGGACTCCAGGCAGCCTTCCCTAGTACCTACACTTAATCACTACCCCCCATTTCAATCTTTTTAATTACCATCAAGCAGTTGTGCAAAGCAGGTGTCACTTAAGAGAACAGTATATAAATACAACGTGTCTTCATCTGTGTTACCCTCTTTAGTTACCTTCTTAAAGATCCTGTCTTTAAAGAAGCCATGTTTGGTTGGATACCAATGGCTCACCCTATAATCCTAGCTACTCAGGTGACTGAGATCTGAGGATCATGGTTCAAAGCTAGCCCCAGGCAGGAAAGTCCATGAGACTCTTATCTCCAATAAACCACCAAAAAAGCCAGAAGGGGAGGCATGACGTAAGTGGTAGAGCACCAGTCTTGAGTAAAAAAGCTAAGAGTGCAAAGCCCTGAGTTCAAGCCCTAGTACCAACACAAAAATAAAATGAGTCACGTTCTGAGGTCCTGGGACTTACCTTGTGAATCGGGAGGTGGTGACAGGTGTAGTTAGTTCCCCCCCACAGCAGCCACCGAAAGACCCTGGCTAGCCAAGAACCCCACTAGTGCCTCGTGACCCCTGTGGCTGTATCTGCTCTGAGGGCTAGGGGGGCCGTGCTCAGGACTCTGCGTCCCCATCTGCCTACAGGTTTCTGAGGCCTGGGCAGGGCATCTGTAAGATGCAAATGAGGATGGACATCAGGATCCTGACAGCAGCCCCGCTGGAGGAAGAGGCCCCTGGCCAGACTCAAATCTGTGGCTAACTCAAGGTTTCCAAAGAAATTTCACATCCGCTTGTCTCCAAGCCTCAGTGGGGGTGAGGGGTGGGGGGAACTTGCTGTCCGCCCCCCCCCCCCCCCCCAGCACACACACACTGCTCTAGGAGATCAGGTCTGGATTGCCTCAGGGCAGGGCGAGGATGTGGGCCCAACCCACGTAGCAGCACTGTCCTGGATTCTGGTCCGGGGCTGGGCTTGCAGGGAGTGGTGACTCAGGACTGAAGACCCAGAGCTGACAGATCAGACCTGTGCAGCAGGAGGGAATGGAGGTCATGCGGATCCGCCCGGCCTCGCTCCCGTCAGTCTGCAGCGGCGGGGCCGGCCAGGGCCGGCCAGGGCTGGCCAGGGCCAGCCAGGGGCATCCCGGAGCCAGTCCCTGACCAGTCTCCCCGAACCCTGCGGCCTGGCCTCTCTGGGCTACTGCCTGCTGCGAGGAGCTAGGATGGGCGGGCGGGGCGGCTGGGCCCCGGCTGGCCCGGCGAGCAGGCCCGCTTGGAGGGCAGGGCTGGGCCTGTGCGTCAGCAGGGAAGTCGGGGGTCCCCCTGAGCAGGAGGAGGCCGTGCGGGCCTGCCTGGCGGCAGGGGAGCGAGGAGGGGCAGGTCTGACCCGGCCCGGAGCCCCTCACAGACCCGGCCATCCGCCCGGCCCACGGGCCCCGTCCTGCTGGCCATCCGCCCAGCCCACGGGCCCCTCACAGACCCAGCCATCCGCCCGGCCCACGGGGCCCCTCACAGACCCGGCCATCCGCCCGGCCCACGGGCCCCTCACAGACCCGGCCATCCGCCCAGCCAACGGGCCCCTCACAGACCCGGCCATCCGCCCGGCCCACGGGCCCCTCACAGACCCGGCCATCCGCCCAGCCAACGGGCCCCTCACAGACCCGGCCATCCGCCCGGCCCACGGGCCCCGTCCTGCCAGCCATCCGCCCAGCCCACGGGGCCCCTCACAGACCCGGCCATCCGCCCGGCCCACGGGCCCCGTCCTGCTGGCCATCCGCCCAGCCCACGGGCCCCTCACAGACCCGGCCATCCGCCCAGCCCACGGGGCCCCTCACAGACCCGGCCATCCGCCCAGCCCACGGGCCCCGTCCTGCCGGCCATCCGCCCAGCCCACGGGCCCCTCACAGACCCAGCCATCCGCCCGGCCCACGGGCCCCGTCCTGCCGGCTGCTCCTCGAACCCGGCTCCTAGGTGGGGGCGGTTCTCTCCTCTGCGCCCCTGCCCGCGCCCCCCTGACCCCTAACCCCCTAACCCCCTGCGCCCCTGCCCGCGCCCCCCTGACCCCTAGCCCCTAACCCCCTGCGCCCCTGCCTGGCCCCCCTGACCCCCTAACCCCCTGCGCCCCTGCCTGGCCCCCCTGACCCCCTAACCCCCTGCGCCCCTGCCTGGCCCCCCTGACCCCCTAACCCCCTGCGCCCCTGCCTGGCCCCCCTGACCCCCTAACCCCCTGCGCCCCTGCCTGGCCCCCCTGACCCCCTAACCCCCTGCGCCCCTGCCCGCGCCCCCCTGACCCCTAACCCCTAACCCCCTGCGCCTCTGCCAGGCGCCCCCGACCCCTGACCCCCTGCGCCCCTGCCCGGCGCCCCCGACCCCTGACCCCCTGCCCGCGCCCCCGACCCCTGACCCCCTGCGCCCCTCCCGGCGCCCCCGACCCCTAACCCCCTGCGCCCCTACCCGCGCCCCGGACCCCTAACCCCCTGCGCCCCTGCCCGCGCCCCCGACCCCGACCCCGTGCGTCCCGCCCCAGGCCCGCCCCGTCCGTCCCGCCGCCCCGCCGGCCTGCGTGCGATGACGCAGCGCCGCCGCGCCCCGCCCCCGCCCCGCCTCCCGAGCCGCCGCCGCGCCGCCGCGCCGACCGCTAACGGTCCCGCGCCCCGGCGTCCGCGCCCCTCGCCCGGCCGACCGGGCCGCGCCGCCGGCCATGGGGGCGACGGGGGCGGCCGAGCCGCTGCGCTCCGAGCTGTGGGTGAAGCAGCAGCGCTGCACCGTGAGCCTGGAGCCCGCGCGGGCGCTGCTGCGCTGGTGGCGGAGTCCGGGGCCCGGGCCCGGCGCGCCCGGCACGGGTGAGTGTGCCCGGCCCGGCGGGGTGAGTGTGCCCGGCGCGCCCGGCACGGGTGAGTGTGCCCGGCCCGGCGGGGTGAGTGTGCCCGGCCCGGCGGGGTGAGTGTGCCCGGCCCGGCGGGGGTGAGTGTGCCCGGCGCGCCCAGCACGGGTGAGTGTGCCCGGCCCGGCGGGGTGAGTGTGCCCGGCCCGGCGGGGTGAGTGTGCCCGGCCCGGCACGGGTGAGTGTGCCCGGCCCGGCACGGGTGAGTGTGCCCGGCCCGGCGGGGTGAGTGTGCCCGGCCCGGCGGGGGTGAGTGTGCCCGGCCCGGCGGGGTGAGTGTGCCCGGCCCGGCACGGGTGAGTGTGCCCGGCCCGGCGGGGTGAGTGTGCCCGGCCCGGCACGGGTGAGTGTGCCCGGCCCGGCACGGGTGAGTGTGCCCGGCCCGGCACGGGTGAGTGTGCCCGGCCCGGCGGGGTGAGTGTGCCCGGCCCGGCACGGGTGAGTGTGCCCGGCCCGGCGGGGGCGAGTGTGCCCGGCGGGGTCGGGGGTGAGTGTGCCAGGCCCCGCGGGGTCGGGGTCCCCGGCCGGCTGGAATAGGGCCGGGGCGGGGGCTCCGACGCGGGGGTGGGGGGGCGGGGAGGCTGCTGCGTGCGCCCCCCAGACCCGAGCCGCGTGGGTAAACCGGGGAGCCTCCCCACCCCGGGGCCGGCAGCCCCCGCCGCCCCCCGCCCCGCCCGAGCTGGGCGGCAGCTTCCGGAGGAGGAGGAGCCGTCCGACCTCACCGTCCTGATCCCCGGGGAGGAGGGCGGAGGGGGGGCACGTCCTGATCTCCGGGGAGGAGGACGGAGGGGGGGCACGTCCTGATCCCCGGGGAGGAGGGCGGAGGGGGGGGCATGTCCTGATCCCCGGGGAGGAGAGCGGAGGGTGGAGGGGGGGGGCACGTCCTGATCCCTGGGGAGGAGGGGGGGGGCACGTCCTGATCCTGGGGGGAAGGAGGGCAGAGGGGGAAGGGGGAGGGGGAGCGGGGAACCCCCCCACCCGCATAGGTGTGCTTCTCCGCAGTTCCCCCTCGCTGTAGCCGGCCTGGTCTTGAACTCACACTCCTGCCTGGTACCAGGATTGTGGCAGACAGCACCCCAGCCCAGCTGCGCTCTTGTGTGCAGGGCTGGGCGTTGCATGCAGGACTCGGGCCTGCCAGGCACCCGGCAGGTTCTTACTGACAGCCTGCTGGCAGTGCTGCAGGTGGGGCCAGCCCAGGCTCAGCACAGGTGGTCAGCTAGGCCGCAGGGAGACTTTGTCCATTGAAGGAGACACAGAGGGATGCATGGGCATGGGAGGTCTAAGCCGTGAGTGCGTGTGTGTGCATGCGTGTACACAGCCACTGTGTGGTCCAGGGTGACCCAGGCGGACCCTGCCCACATGGCCAGCAGACCTCCATGGGAGGCCTGGAGAGACTGGGTCCTGTGCATATCAGATGGCACAGAGGCGCGTTATGTGCAAAGGCCCCACGACACCAGAGGGCAGAGGGGCGGGAGTGAGAGGTAAGGGGTGAGGCGGGAAACCTGTAGCTTTGTAGGCTGAGGTGGAGATTGGCTGTAAGGAAACAGAGTCACAAGGTCATCAGAATAAAGACGAGCTCAACAGCTTTTATTTGGGAGTGAGCCTGGGAAGGGCACCCAAGCCTCCTTCCGCGAGGCTGGGGGAAACCGCACCCCTCTGACAGCTAGGGTCTCATTAAATATTAGGCAGGAAGAGTGGAGGGGGCAGAGGGACGCGGGTGAGGTGGCGGGGGGGGGGGGCAGTGTTACTGTGACCGGGGAGTTTCAGGGTCTCTGCAGCTCTGGGTCCTCCAGGGGCAGCAGCATGGACGTGGCAGTGGTCTGGGGCTCTCTTCCCTTCCTTTGGAAGGGAAGGCAGATGGTTCAGCAGGGTCTGCAGCAAGGATGTGGCTGTGGAGGGGAAGCTGGGTGCTTTAGGTTAAGTCACTTCCCATCACTGGCTTTTACTGTGAGCTGGTAGGCGCCTCTAGAGGTTGTATCCAGCTTAAATCTTAAAGGATGTCTGTGATCTCTGCGAGGAGGTCCGATGGCCGAGGTACACGGCAGTAGGCAGGAACGATGGTGGAAGGTAGGGCACACTCGGCCGTCTCTGGTCCTCAAATTCTGGGTTTGCTGTGGGGACATCATGTACTTTGAGTCTGTTTGTTGTTGCTGGCCAGCTCTTTCTGGGAGTGGTTACTGCCTCCCCTCTGGGGAGCTTCTGGGGAGCTGGTGGTCAGGCTGTGCCAAGAGGGCCTGCCCCCCCCCGGGGCCTCCCACTCCTCCAGGGCACCATCCCCGTGCCCTGCTGACAGAGCATCAAGCTCAGGCTCAAGCTAGGTCTGGACAGAGGGCCTGTCAGGGCAGACCTGCAGTCCGCTGGGAGTTCAGCCATTAGCCGGTGGCACGTCCAGCTCCTGCCCCTCCCCAGATGTCTGGACACCCCGGATTGCCTAGGCTGGGAGTGATGGGAGGAGGAGGACTGAAAACCAGGCCACAGGAGGGGAAAGGTGTGAGAGGAGGTGGGGGAGGTGTGGCAGCCGGGGTCTGGACCGGAGGGCTGCCCAGCCTCTGTGCACCGGGCCTGGCCACCGTTCATCTCCTCTTTTCCTCCTGCTTCCAGCCTGAGACCCGGAAGCTGTGGACAGATCAGGGAGGCGCAGCTGCCCGGCCAGGAGTGGCTGGGCACCCAGGCACAGGCTCTTCTAGGGGAGTCACCAGGCTGGGAGGGTGCCCGCGGCAGAGATAAGGAGTAGACGCTCAGAGGTGGGGTTTCTGGCCTCAGAGGAGGTCTGTGACCCAGGAAGAGGAGCCAGCCAGGCTCCACCGGGGCCACAGCCTGGCCGGAAGCAGGACTGTCTGAAAACAGGAAACCCAGAGGGCTTGGGCTGGGGCAGGGGTGGGAACTTCTCCAAGTGGGCCACGACTTAAACTTGAACCAGACTGGTGTCTGGACTGCATTCAAGCAATGGAATATAGGGCATTTCTTCTTAGGTGTGTGGCTCAGCAGGCGTGTGTGTGGCGGGGCGAGGGAGGTTCCAGAGTGGGGGTGGGATGAGGCCACTGTGCAGGCGACTCTGCCGCCCCCAAGCCCCATCTGGGCCCTCTGGCAGCAGCCCCAGCGCCCCACACCAAGCGCCCAGCCAAGTGTGAGCAGGCTGGGCAGGTGGCTCAGCGGTAGAGCACTCGCCTGGCATGCAGGAGGCCCTGGGTTTGATGCCTCTGCACCACATACACAGAAAAAGCCAGAAGTGGCACTGTGGGTCAGGTGATAGTGCACTCCCCTCCCATAAGATTGCTGGTGGCTCACAAGTGTGATCCTAGCTACTAAGGTGGTTGAGTTCCGAGGATCACAGTTTGAAGCCAGCCCAGGCAGGAAAGTCAGTGAGACTCTTTATCTCCAGCAAACTACTAAAAAAAAAGTCACAATGGCGCTGTGGCTTAGGTGGTAGAGCACTAGACTTGAACAAAAGAAGCTCAGGGACAGTGCCCAGGGCCTGAGTTCAAGCCCCAGGACTGGCAAAAAACATTTTGTTTTTAAATGTTTATGAAAGTAATTCATGGTACTGAAGGAACTTAACAGAAGAACATTTGCCTGGCATGCATAAAAAGAGAGGAAAGAAGAAAGGAAGACAAAATCATATTGTTATAATAAAATCTAAAAAATAAAACAACAAAAAAGCCATCCTTAGTCTTAAGAAGTGATTAGCCAGGCCGCTGGCTCAAATCTGTAATTCTAGCTACTCAGGAGGCCAAGATCTAAGGATCAAGGTTCAAAGCCAGCTCAGGAGAAAAAAGTCCGGGACATGCACGGTCTACCACTTGAGCTATAGCTCCACTTCTGGCTTTTTGTGCTTAATTGGAGATAAGAGTCATACAACTTTCCCATACCTGGGCTGATTTGAATTTCAAGCCTCAGATCTCAGTTTCCTGAGGATCTAGGATTATAGGTATGAGCCATGGGGCCCACCTAACTGATTTTTGCTAGTTATTTGGAAATAGAGTCTAGTAGACTTTTCTGCCTGGGCTGGCTTTGAACCTCGGTTCTTCAGGTTACAATGGGAGCCACTGGTAACGTAAAAACAATTTTTATAGGAAAGATACATTCCATCAGAAATGACAATAAGTATACAGATGGATAGATAGATATGGAAGAGAGTAATATAGACCGAGAACAGGTAGAAGATAGATAGCTGGATGATGGATATATACAGATGATCAATAATATAGATTGGTGATTGATAAAAGGTAGGTGGATGGATGGATGACAGGTAGGTAGGTAGGTAGGTAGGTAGATAGATAGATAGACAGACAGACAGATAGATACATAGGGGCCGATGCGCCCCTGAGTCTACACAGATGGATCCAGACCAGAAGGCAGACTGGCTGGGTGGGGAGCCGAGCAGCTGAGCAGGAGGGTTCAGGGAATGGTCCTGCTTTTGGAAAGTAACTGCCAGTATTTCAACAATGTTGAGTTTATAAGGCTCTTGAACCCAGCATTCTCCCCTCCCCTCCCTTCCTCTACCCTTGTACCCTTCCTCTTCCTCTTTCCTTCCCCCCTTCTTTCTTTTGGTGTTGATGGCTAAACCTAGAACCTGGCATGTGTTACGCCCACGCCCTACCACCGGCTGCACCTTCAGCCCCTCAGATCCTACTTTTAGCCATTTATTGTAAAGAAATGAAAGCACTGCCAGGCTTTTCTGCGTGTGGCACTGTGGGGATGGGCTAAGCTAGGCGGGGGCTATACTCCTTGAGTCAAACCCTCAACCTCTTTTGCTTTTGTTGTTTTTCAGATAAGGTCTCCATTTTTGCCTGGCCGGCCTGGGCTGCAGTTGCTCCTATTTGTGTTTCTCACATAGCTAGGATTACAGGTGCCACCACCACACCCAGATTTTATTGGTGGAGATAGGATCTTTTGGTCAGGGCTGGCCTCCACGCTCTGGTGCGGCCCTCTGATCTTAGCTTTCTGGGTAGCTGGGAT